GCCGCATTCATGACACAGCCTCTCAGCGATGACGCCCCGCCGACGGAACCGATCCAGGCGCTCCCAGCCCCGGCCTCGGCCGCCGCCATCAAGCTGCCCAGCATGGCGCACTCGCTAACCGGCGATCCGCTCTCCATGTCCGACTCAGAAACGACCATTGCGTTCAGGCGGAACCACCCGTCGGCTGCGTCTCTGTATGCGTCCACGCTGTCCCCGCCAGGCTCGAGGCCAATGTCCCCCGCGGGGCACGGATCGCCGTCACGAGTGCTCTCCTCCACCGTCTTCGGGCCCCCATCGGGCAGGTCACTACCGGACGTCAACGTTGGGGAGAACCCTGGTGATCCGGTCAACCTTATGCTCAAGGCGTTTGTCCCCCATGTCGCCATCTACGCTTCCGATGATGTGGAGGAGCTTGCCGCAAAGAAGGGTTTCCAGCAGGGCTTCTGGGAGCTCTTGAGACCCTTTGGTGAGCGAATCCAGGGTAAGGTGTCGGTTCGGGATAGCAACGGAGTGAGCAAGATAGCGGAGGAGTTCTCCCTTCGATTCACCAAGTTTGGTGAGAACGTGGACCAGCCGGGGACGAGAACAAGGACGCCCAGCTTGATGCAGGGTGGCTTTGGTGACGGCAAGAATGGAGAGAAGCAGGGACCGGCCCTCACGCGGGATCAAAAGGCATTGGTAGATGTCGAGTCGGTTGTTAGCCGTCATCTGTCGTTTGCCGAAGAGTCGTTTCTCAGCTCCCCCTTCCACGCCGCTCTGTCGTCTACTCAAGGGCTAGACACTGAGGCTACGTCTCCATACTACGCGCTCTATTTACGGCGTCTGCTCTCAGCGATGCCTATTGCTCCGCATGAGACTTTCACTCACCCCGTGGCTTGCATTGTCGCTGTCACAGCTGGTTCAGAGGACTCGGTGGGAGAACTGCGTCGGATATACAACGAAACCAGCACAGGGCCCAAGAAGCTCCCTCCGTGGGTCGACGGCGACTACCTACGGTTCTATGTACTGGTTCACGACGAAGAAAATGACGATATTACTCGGTCGATGGCCCTCTATGAGCAGATGAGGCGGCATTTTGGACAAGATTGCCATCTTCTGCGACTGCGTAGTAGTCAAAGTGCAGAGACGGATGACGATAGCATCCCGATCCCGCGAAGCGACTGGATGCCAGCAGAGGAAGAGCTGGCAGAAATCCGCCGCAGCGAGAATGAGGAAGATTTCGAGGACCCCTTACGATATATATTTGAATCTGATGCTACTGCCGTCAGGACATTTGTTCGCGAGCTGGTCACATTGTCCCTCCTGCCTAAAATGGAGCGCAATGTCTCCATCTGGAATGACCAGGTCGCCTCACGTAGGAGGGGTCTGGCCGGTCGATTTATGAATCTGTCCAGGAAGTGGGCCAGTTTTGGTGGCAACTCTCGATCCTCGATCAACGTAGGAGGTACCGACAATTATGATATGTCGGGATTCTACCGGGCGGAGGCGCCGGAGGCCATCATGCGGAAATTAGCAGACTACGCGTTCATGCTACGAGATTGGAGGCTGGCATACTCTACATACGACTTGTTGCGGGCAGACTTTGCTGATGCAAAGGCCTGGAAATACCAAGCTGCTGCGAATGAGATGGCGGCGCTCAGTCTCCTGATGATCCCGCACCAGCTCACATCCAAAGCTCGAGCAGAAACCGTGGACCAGATGCTCGAATCTGCAGTGTATTCATACCACACACGCTGCAGTTCGCCCTATGGCGCGATACGAAGTTTAATCCTCGGCATTGAGCTTCTTAGAATCAGGGGAGGAAACAACATCGACGATGCGGGCAGGTGGGGTACACGGCTGCTCGACCTGAAGATCCTCGGCCCCATCGGAGAAGCCTTGGCCAAGGAGCGTCTAGCAATCGCCTATTCTTGCAAAGAAGGTGTCGGTAGCTGGCACTGGGGGGCCCGCAGCCGCAAGTCTGCAATGTGGAGTGCCCTCGCCGCGGAAGCATGGGTCAAGCAGGCCAAGTACATCCCCGGACAGCGATGTATAAACCACGCGCGGAACATCTACTCCTCGAATCCTCCCAAGACGGGCATATCGGGATATGACGAGGCGAGCCAGTTCGTCACCTCTCTTGCGCGCACCATCGCGGAACAGCTTGACCTTGTAGACGACGACCTGGACGATGCGAGTGACGACGACTTGGATGATGAAATAGACGAGGAGAGCGAAGCCTTGACGGACATGAGACGGAGGCGGCCGAGCAATGGCAGGCCGCAAAGCGTCATTGAGACGGCGCCTCTGCGGGACGACGGGACGGAAGAGAATGGCAAGGCAGGGTTTTGATAAGAGTTGGGAGCGACTCGAATTACGAATAGATGGCGTACAGGGGCATCATGGCTGTAAAATACAAAGTATATTAATCTACTACCACTTTGTTTCTTCACATGATGCCGATGAGAAGCTCTGCTTCCTGTATGGTTATACCGGTATGATTGCGCTATAAGCTTGAGGAGCGCCGCGAAGCGACAACATACAAATATTTACTGTGATGTTTCGACTTGATACATTGTTACGGTAGATTTTATGAGCAATGACGAAATAGAGATGTTTGGGTTTGAGGACAAATCCGACTGGGAAGTGAACCGAAAGCTCGAAGAAATATATTCGGACATGATCCAGCCTCGGTTGAATGTTGGAATGATATTATTAGGGGACATAAAACTTGGTGGCCTTCGTTGGATATGCGAAGCTATCATAAGAGACGGTGACATAACAGCCAGCTTCTACGAAACCCTTTCTAGAGTTTATGAAGAGCCAGATCAGTACATTGCAACATCGCAAGCTAAACAAAAAAGGGCCGTTCACATATATAGCGTAAAATTGAGAAGTTCGAATTTGCAATGACGGTGATCGAAGTGACAAGCGTATTTTCAACTCGCATCCATTCATTAATGTGTGGTTGTGGTTGAATGTTGGACAATCCATGGTGGGGTGTTGGGTTGGATGGCACTGATAAGCACAAGCCAGCGGATAAGGCCGCCAACGTCACCGAGCACTGCATCTAGCCTCTCTCTGCCTCTTGGTCCGCGTGCGCGCCCTCGTGTGCTAGCAAACAATAGCATTTAATTCTCGGCGTTTTTGTTTTTCATCCTATCTTGATACCCATTACCGACCACTGTTACCATTGCCAACCCGACAACACACCGAAATATCTGATCCAGCGCTTGGCTGCCCCGTTTTCGCCTGCATCATGGGCGAGCTTGCCGACTATCTTAACGAGCATGACAGCAACTTCCGCAAGTATGCACAAATCCCCCACAACAGACCCTGAGTTGGTTGTTTTTCTATTATGCTGACGCGGCATGAGCAGGTCACGTCTCCCTGCATTATACTCAGACTTCAGATCACAGCGAACGCTGAACCCCGATGGGTACCAAGCCAACATTTCAGCATGGAACCACGCCCTATCCCACCTCGCCTCGCAAGGCATCCTTTCTAAATACAACACCGAATCCAGCCCCCTGATACTCAAGATTGACAACTCGATCCTACGCCATTTTGAGAGCAGACAGTTCGGCCAGCCGCTGGCGTTGGGAACGGTCGTGCGAGAGGCGGTCGCGGCCAAGAACCTCGTCCCCCTCAACGACTTCCTCAAGGCGCAGACGAACATATACCAGCGTGGCTGGGGAGAGCTCCCCTGGACTGTGGTGGGATGGACGCTGCGCCAGCTGGGCGTGGTTGACCCCTCGAGGGGAGAGGATACGCTGCCAGCAGGCCGGTACGTGGCGATGCAGAACCTCGAGTCGGCGGCTGCGGAGCTGAGCGAGAGAATGGCAGGGAAGACGTCCATCTTCGATCGCGTCTTCACCAAGACCCAGTTCGAGACTACGTTTGCCGCAGAACTCGTCCCCGGCCAGCGGCTATCGGAGCAGGATATCGACGTGCTCTTGAGGTTCCTCGCCCGGGAGAAGCAGACGGTGGAGTACGATGGCCAAACGGTGCGCATCAAGGGCGGCGGCGATGGCGATAGGAAGCTCACGGAGGAGGACGCCACCGTCGCATCGATCAAAGAGCTTACGGCCAATCTCAAGCACCAGATTTCCCTCCTCAACACACGGGTCGAGGAGCTGGAGCAGACCGCCAGGTCTGCTGTCATGCGCAAGCACAAAATATCCGCGCTCGCTGCTCTAAAATCAAAGAAGATCGCCGAGGCTTCTCTGCAGTCGCGGTACACCACCCTGAACCAGCTCGAGGAGGTGGCCAACAAGATCCAGCAAGCCGCCGATCAGGTGCAACTTCTCAAAGTGATGGAGTCTTCTTCCAGCGTCCTCAAGACTCTCAACGCGGCAACGGGAGGCGTTGAGAAGGTGGGCAGCGTGATGGACCGGCTGAGGGAGCAGATGGGCACGGCAGACGAGGTGGCGGCCATTCTCGCCGAGTCGGTCGGTGCCCCTATCGACGAGGCCGAAATCGACGAGGAGCTGGAGGCGCTGGAAGAGCTGGAGAAGGAGAAGGAAGCGGCGGCGAAGCGCGCCAAGGAGGAAGCGCAACGCAAGAAGGAGGAGGCCGAGGCACTCGAGAAGCTGGAGAAGCTCCCCGAGGTGCCTGTGGCAGACGAGCCAGCGAGGGAGAAGGCGCAGACGCCCACATCAGAGACAGGGATTGCGAACCTGTCAATCGAGAGTCAACCAGAGAAGGAAGCGGAACTGTTGGCAAACTAGTGATGTGATGGTATGAAAATACCTATTATTCTCTATGGGGTGGCTAATTTTGCGGAGTTATAAGACTTGTGCGGCTATTGTCATGGCCATTACAAAGGCATACCGTTATTTGGTGTGATACTTTTAGACGTTAATCATGGATATATGTAGTTTGAACGGACGATAGGGTCCTGGGAAATTGTCGATATTAATTGCCGGTAGAGCAGCTATTTGTTTCCCCAGAAGATACTTCAGATACCTGCTGGACATTTGGTACCAATATACTTGTACTTGTACTATTGCTTCCTTCTATCAGCCCGGGGATCCCTCCTGATCCAGTGGGTGGGTTATGTTCATTGGTATCAAGCGTCTGTGTATGTACAGAGCCAGGAATCACACCTATTACCGCTTCGCCAGTTTCTTGAGGTATGCCGTCCTTTGGAGGAGGGGCTTCAGGACTCTCATCCGTCTTTGGTTTCTGCTTTGCTTCCATACTTGATTTCCTGGCGTTTGCGATTAGATCCTGGAACGAACCGTTGTGTCGAGTCGCCCAGGCGGCACCGTCAAAATCTTTATCTTTTATCATGGCAGCGTTTTGAGCTGCTCGGCCTGTGGTTGGTGCACGACTTCCCTGCGTCTTCTCCCACGTATCAAGATCCTGTAATAGCTGCGTACGATTCTTTGGTCGTGCCGCATCGCAGTTGGCGTTCCACAGTGTCACCCATTCCCGATGTCGTTTCTCGAGAATTTGTCGGGGCCCGTGGTTGGGTATCTTTAGGTCGCCCAATTTCTTGCGTAAGGCGTTTTCCTTGAATAAGCCGTAACTCAGACCCGGTAGCCTTTCGTAGGTTGTGTTGTGTATCCGCTCTGTGGCGCCCAGCTGCGTCGGTTTATCTGTATTTGTACTTTGCCTCTTTGGTGAAGGTCCAGTACATGACTCTATATGCCCAAAAACCTGCCACTCCTTCATCCGTCTCTGGCACATGGGGCAGGCAACCAAGCCATCGTCTTTCAACAGTTAGTTTCGGGATAACCAGGTCTATACTCAAGATAATGATGGTCTTACCAGGTTCAGGAACAAACTCATCCTCTTCCGCGTCGCTAGCTGGTACAACCTCCTCTTCTTCAACCTCTGGCGCCACCGCATATGACACTGGCTGCTTGTTTCGGCTCAACCTCGCCGACGACCGTAGCCTCTTCGCATCGGGCGCAGGCTCTGGCTGTGATGCATCCTCGTCTCTCGTTTTCCTCTTCGGCGACCGAGGTGGCGGGTCAGGTTTCCGTTGCGCAAGTTCCAGTATGGCAGATCGCGCCGTCTTAAAAGATTCCACCGCCTCCTCCACGGACCAGTTGCTGCGGAGCTTGACCTCCTGCTCTCCCGCACGGCACACTGGACATTTGCTATCGATGGACAAGGCTCTCCGGATGCACAGCGAGCAGAACGTGTGTGAGCAGGTTGTGATCATGGGTGTTTCGTAGAAGTCCTTGCACACTTGGCAGCGAAGTGATGCCTCGACTCGCGCCAGCGCAGGTAATGACGTCGAAAGCCAGTCTGTCGAGTCGGCAACGTCGTTTTCGGGCATTGTGGTGAAGGAATGGGTGGTTAGGTTGTTTGGGGGGGTGATAAAAAGTTAACAAAGCCTCACAATGTTATCAAATCAGTTCCGAATTGATTCCTAGGATCAGAGGTACGCTGTCGTGGAGCGAGGCCTACGCTCAGACGAACGGAGACGCGGTGGACGCGCTGCGGGTGCGAAACGGCCCAATCAATTAAAATTCTGGCCAAGACTTAAAGACTCGATAAGAGATTAAACCTGTTTGATGAATAATTGGCTGGTTGAGCAGGCAGAACCATGCAGCTAGTGGGGCGCACTTGCCAATCAGTGGCCAGCTAATTAAGCTTCCACGTGAGACCGCGTTGCTGGTTCGCGTCGTGCTGGAACCTCGATGTCGAAAGGGCTTCATTCAACATTCAGGCCAGAATCTTGGAAGATTCTAAGCGGGAATTTGAAAGAACCCAAAATCATACTAAACTAATAATCGGATGAGAACCTCCATATTCCCGGTTGAAAATGGACGAATACAAGAAATTTCTGGCCGATCGGCTTCTCAGCGATGAGCAACCAGTGAGCAGAGCTCATCCCAGCCCAATTTAGATACCAGCTAACCAGAGCCCAGATCACATACAGACTTCTCAGCAGAGCGCTCGGGATACATGTCAACACGGCAAAAGAGTAAGAAATTTCATGGCCTGATTTACTTATCAATGGCTTATGACGGAATTATAGAATGCTGTACGACTATCATACCTATCAAAATGGTATCAAGGCAGAGTCGATCCATGCTACCTATGTAGTGTATGGTACCAAGACCCAGAACAACACTGCTGAAGACGGGGATGTCGAGATGAGCAGCTCAATGCCTGAACATGAGCCTCTTTCTGAAACAGTTCCCACGACGACCTTGGCCCTGGTCGGCCAGGAGAATCTAGAAGGTACTGAAACACTCAAACGGGCCTCTTCAATGAACTAAATGCTAACAAGAGGAAAATTCAGCCGCCCTCGCAGAGTACCAGGAGGTTGCGTCAATACATGTGTATAGTCTCGCCCCCGGTTCCCAGCGGGACGTGTCTCTTCTCTATGATGTGGCCAAATCATTGGCCGAGTACACTTCAAAAGAAGACCCCTTGACGGCTGGCGAGAAGTATGGAACAATCAGGAATCTGAATGTGACGCGGAGGGACCGTCAAGCACGCCCCAAGCCAGGCGCTTCCACCAGTCAACCTACCAAGGCACAACCCGCCAAGGCTCAACCCCCCAAAGCCCAGCCAATTGTTCCTATCAAATCTGAGCCAGCTGCTGCCAAGAAGCCCTCGCCATTCGAAGTTGCAGCGGCGGCAGCCAAGCTCAAGAAGCAACCCACCTCACAAACGCCATCATCCTCTGAGACGCCGACCTCCAGTGCCTCGAAGCCAGCTCCGGCATTGAAACGAGGGGGATCCGGAAGTATTATGCAATCATTTGCCAAAGCGAAGCCCCCCAAGCCAAAGCCGGAGCCGAAAAAGGAGGAGGACACTGAGATGGCGCTCTCGGACGACGGAGAAGCTGACGACGAGGACATTGCGCAAGAAAAGGCCGAGTACAAGGATTCGGATGCTGTGAGGAAGTCAAGGAAGCAGCGGGAGGAAGAATTGAGGCGGATGATGGAGGAGGACGACGAAGACGAGAAATCCGAGGAGGAACCTGCCGACGAGGAGATGGAAGAGGCACCTGAACCCGAGCCTGAGCCAGAAGAAGAGCCGAAGGAGAAGGAGAAGGAACCGACCGAAGTTACCACCACAACCACTAATGGCCGGAGAAGGGGAAGAAGAAAGGTCATGAAGAAGGAGCGCGTCATGGATGAACAAGGCTACCTTGGTAAGAGACATTCACTGCTTCATCTTGGGAACTCTACTAACAAGTATTAGTTACGATACAAAAGCCCGGCTGGGAGTCATTTTCAGAAGACGAAGCTCCTCCGCCCAAGAAACCCGCAATTGGCTCATCTGTTTCGTCTACTCCCGCCTCATCAGGAGGGAAAGCCAAGAAACCCACCGGAAAGGGCGCACAGGGAAACATCATGTCCTTTTTCGCCAAGAAGTCATACCATTAGTTTAGAAGGCCCTGTAAGAAATCTACCATAATTTTATTATAACCTTTTTGGGCGCCCTTACTTGAAAGAATCTACAACACGACCCTGGTCTTGTGCTGTCTTGCCTCCCGTAGCTCTATATTGCTCTGGATTTGCCTTTATCCTTTGAAGCAGTGCGGCCAGCCTCTCCACCCCGTCGACAATGTCCTGCTCTTCCAGCCAGGCAAATGTGAGCCGTATCTCATTGTCGAACCTGACCGAGTCGTCCCCCTTGACCGCAAACATGTAGCCCCCTCCAATAATCATGTTTTCCTCCTCTTGCGCAGCTTTACTGATCACATCAGACGACACACCGAGATTGTGCGCGATCCAGACAAAATAGCCCCCGTAGATATCCGCGCCCAGCAGACTGCCATGCCGCACCTCCGCACCGAGCGGCACAAGGTGTCTGCGGAGCGTATCCAGCATCAGCTTGTGCCTCCTCTGCAGGCTCGGCCGGATCACCTGGTCGATGTGCGTCTGCAGCTCCCCGCTGTGTACCAGATCGCTCAGCATCGCGGCGCACAGCTGGCTCGGAGCGCCGCCGCTCTTCGAACTGGCCGTCTGGGCCAGGCCGAACGCGAACGCCCTCGTGCCCTCGGCCCATCCCGTGCGCACGCCCGGGCCGGCGATCTTGCTGAAGGAGCCGTTGCTGACGACGTTCCCGAACCCGCCCTCCGGGATCCCCAGGGCCTGGTCAATGTCGGACAGCCGGGGGAGGTACGCCTCGGGCGGCATCTCGGCTGGCCAGACACCCTGCTCCGAGGGGATGCGCCACTGGAGGAAGTCGTAGACGTCGTCCGCGATGACGAGGGCGTCGTACCTGCGGGCCAGCCGCACGAGGCCCTCGCGCCTCTTGAGGGACATTGTCTTGCCGGATGGGTTGCCGCAGCTCGGAACGACATAGATGACGTGCCTGTACAGTTTCCTCAGCGGGCCGGGGTTCTTGTAGGGCTGCATTTCTGGAAATCAGCGATCGAAACACCTAATCTAGATAGAAAATAAACCAGTTCTCACCTCCCCACGATCCCCCTTCTTGCTCTCCAACTCCTCGAACGCTTTCAACTTGGCTTCGAGAACCTCGACATCAATGCCGTCCTCGTCCTCCGGCGCCGCATGCAACCTGCCTCTGAACCCCGAATCCTCAAAGATGGGACAGGCAAGGTGGAAGACGGGCGCCACGAGCCACACGGCCCTGGTGAACACGGGGTCAGTGTAGCTCTGCAGGACGTTGGCGACATTCTGGCTCGCGCCCCCGGTGATGCATATCCTCTCCGGGTCGGGGTCTACGCTGTAGTGCCTCCCAAGCCAGGTCGCCAGGCCCTCGCGCAGAGGTCTGTAGCCCTCATCTGGGCCGTACTGGAGAGCGGGCACGAAGACCGTGGGGTTGGTTAGAAGTCGCTGGGCGGCGCCGGCGAGCAGGTGTGCGGGGAGGAGTGAGGGGGACGGCCAGCCGCGGAGGAAGTTGATTGCGTGCTTGGTCATGTTGATGTTGATGCGAATTGAATGGAGGGGCTCAACAGGCATAGCACTGGAATCTGGAAATACCTCGTCCTTCATCAGGATGTTGCCAGATTGTGAGCTGGTTTGAGGTGTGAAGAGAGGCTGTCGCCGGAAGGTTACACAAAGCGGGAAGGCTGCGACCGGCCGGAGGAGCGAGCTACTTTGTCGCTGGTATGGATTCAAATATACATTATTAATCGGGCAATTGGGCGCGATTGACAACTTGTGGGTTCAACACAAGATGGGCCCGGGTGACACTTGTTGACGCAAAGTAATGGCACTTCAACTGGGCAGGTAATCCAATAATCGCAATGGCCCGGCTATGAAATGAAGCACGCAATCGCATACCCAACGCAGACCCAAAATCATGCCGGCTCAGCAGCATGGCCCAATATCCCACCATGTACGCCATTGAATACTCCAGATACTCCAAGATCCCGTCTTCAGAAACGCAATTTTACATTGATTCTTCTGATCAAACCTCGTATGGTTTGGCACCCTCGCCAAATATCAAATGAGGCTTTCGCTTTGCCAAGTCTAGGATGGTGACAGCAAAAACGCCATTCGCCCAGGCAAACCAACTCCGGGTGTATTGGCTTGCGCGGTCTACGTCGATGCTCTCGTGTACAAGACCAAGCTTCGCTGAGTTCAAGACCAAATCAAGACAGTCCTTGATCTCTTCGTCATCGTCTGACGTTTGTGCTTGGATTAGAAGACTCATCGGCCATGCGTTTCTCAACCCAATGTGCGGGCCTACATGTTGTCAGTACAGTTTACAATCAGGATGGCTGGTGGGAAGAACGAACCTCCAATTCCTCTAAAGTCCCTTCCCTCCAGATAGTATGGGTTGCCTTGTTTCTCGAGAATCATCTTTCTTGTGTTCTGGTATACTGGATCATCAACATCGCAAAAGCCCATAACAGGCAGCGCAAGTAGAGAGGGGTAGTTGGCATCATCCATCATAATGGAGGAGCCGTAGCCATCCACCTCGTAAGCAAATACATCGCCGTATTTCTTATGCTTGACGATGCCGTGTTCCATAACACCATCTCGTAGCTGCGTGCTCCATTTCTCGAGCTCGGCGCTTAGGGCGGACTTGCCCGCCTTCTTGAGCACTTTGGACGCGCGAGAGAGCTCAACGGACATCATGGCATTGGCTGGGATGAAGAACCCTAGAATCGTAGCATCATCGCTAGGCCTAAAGGCAGAGCGGACAAGGCCCGTCCCACTGTTCAAAGGGTTGCCAAGTCCTTGTAGATTTAGGGTTTCTGTTCCTATGTTCGTGTTTCTTTGGAAAGTGTATTCGTTCCTAAGATATTTCCCTGTTTTTGGATCAAATGCGGGCTGGGACTGCTGCTCTAGAACTTGGAGCAATGTCTTGACGGCTAATAACCAACGTTGGTTGACGAAA